TAATGGCCAGAGCAAGCATGCAGATGGAACCCCTCATAATGGCCAGAGCAAGCATGCAGACTCGTAAACAAAAGCACAGAGATCTCATTAATAGAGTAAAAAAAAAAATATTGTTTTTTATTAACCATTTTGGGTGGACTGGTCCTTTAATAAAGGGTTGTTCGGTGCAGTAGCCCATAGGAACCTATTGACATCTACTCTAGATGGACTTTGGTGGCTGCTATGGGTTGCTGCTGTAGGGAATAGGAACTCTTTATTAAATATAGCTACAAGGATGGACTTCAGACTCCATCTCTGAACAGAACTGCACAGAGTAGAGGGGAAGTAAGGACAGTCTGGATTGGACGGTGCGCCATATGTAGAGGTGGACGGAAACCTACGGCAATAATCATTGAAACAAATGTAGCATTGTGAATAGGATAGAAAGCGGCAGCGACTATAATCGGTCGACCATGGGTGTATAAATCGGTTCGGGGATTTACCGTGTACAATTGTTTTGATTTTGAATCTTTAAATTATTCAATAAAATACTAAATAAATTGTAAAATAAATGGCTTTTTTCTTGGCGCTGAAGCTGTTTTTTTTTTTTTTTTTTTAAACCCACACAGTAGACTTCTGAAGGATGTATAAAGACTGGCATCCGGATCATTTTAATAAAATACATGGAAGTTGTCACCAATCCCCGCACGGTGAAAGTGTTGTCAGAGGTTGGGTGTGATGACGGCTACCTACCATGAACCATGATATTGTGTCCAAATACATTTATTAATCTACATTTTGAATGTTAGGTGACACGGGGGGGGGGGGGGGGGGGTATTGTGATAGAGCGTCAACTGGAAGCACAATGGACTTATTCCAGTTTTTGGTGAGTCCTAAGAATGAGACCAATGTGATTTTTAAGGTGATTAGGGACATTACACATATTTCCATAGTTAGTCTGGCTGAAAAAAGACAAAAAGTCCATCCAGTTCAACCATTTAAAAAAAAAAAAAAAAGTTATAATCCTACACCCACGGTTGATCCAGAGGAAGGCAAAAAAAAAAAAACCCAGCAATGTATGGTCCAATTTGCTCCTGCAGGGGAAAAAATTCCTTCCTGATCCCCCGAGAGGCAATCGGATATTCCCTGGATCAACGTTCCCTATAAATGTTATATCCAGTTATATTCTGTGTATCCAAGAAAGAATCCAGGACTTTCCTACAGCAATCCACAACCAACTCTTGAGGGAGTCTATTCCACATTCTCACAGCTCTCACTGTGAAGAAACCTTTCCGTGTCTGGAGATTACATTTATTTTCCTCCAGACACCCACTTTAGAAGCAGACCTAAGCCAGCAACTTTGGAAGTCTCTCAAATGGTTAAGCAGCAACAGTCTCTAGGATCTCTCGGACCTCAACTCACTGTGTCCTTGTGTAAATGGAGGCCTCCTTAGCAGCTTTAGAAGTAGGACCTTCAGCTCTCCCTGAGCTGGGATCTCCTTGAAACTGCAGCCCTCAGCTTATCTGCCCAGAAGGGCAGCCACCCTTCAGGCTAGATCCTCCACCAGGACAAGGGCCCTGCTGGTCCAGGCCCCAGACTATTTATACACACCTCAGCCCGCTGCTGGTCATCCGCTTATCCAGGGATTGTCTGGAGCTGTAGATTATAACTTTTTTTTTTTTTTTTAATAGTTGACCTGGATGCACTCCAACCAAGTTTTACCAGCATTAAACTTTGAACACAATAACCAGGCAATGAGCATGTTTTTAGAGACTTGGAAAACTGCTGCTTGTGCCTATCTGGGAACAGAAATTGGGACAAACATGGGACCCATCATGCGTCTGACGCGCTACACCAGGGAGAACAACAAAGCACTTCCTCATAAGAAACAAGAACGGAGGTAAAGAGAAGACAAGGCACTACCATTACTGATGAGGGCAAAGAGAAGACATGAGACAAAGAATGACACAAAATGATTCTTTATTCTAATACAAAACCTGGAGCTATCGAGTTCCCGCTGTGAGAACCACTGAGCTACCTACATGGAGCATTACACTGCACTTTACAGTCCCAGAATCCTCTGCTCACCCTGAACCGAATCTGATCCTCCATCTCCATGTTTTACCCCATGCTGCAGAACTACTTCTACATTATTCTTCCTCTTCCTTACTTTTTGTGTTTTTTCCATCTGTAATCACAACCGAAACTTCCGGATCCATCTGCTATGAGCTGGAGATTCTGGTCATCACCCAGCCTCACCTTCCTACCCAACAAATCCACCAAGTCTGTGTGGCCACTGATAGACGCGCATATATGGAAGGCCAAAAGACAAAGCCGTCCAAATGTCATTGATTGATATTGTATTAAAGTGTTACTAACCCCCAGCAGTGACATCAGTCTGTAGATGCCGTAAAGGATGCTTGTTATACTCACTGTGGAACCCAAGGGGTTAATCCTCTGCATTGTGTAAAAAAGGCTGTTTGATCCTGCCTTCTCTGATCCTCCCCTTCTTCCACTGTCCTCAATCCATCTCCTGATAGTACAGAGCCCTAGGAGTCACTCTGCACATGCTCAGTTTAGTGTAAATAGCTAGAGAGTTTTTTTGTTCTTGGGAAGGTGCATGTGATCAGCACAGGGCCAACCAGCACTGTCCAGACAGAGGTCAGGGGTTCTGCATCCTCCTAGAGCAGAATGAAAACTCCTACAAGCTATAACCAATGCTAGTCCAAGAATGTAAGCTCGAAAGAGCAGGGCCCTTGAATCCCTCGTGTTTTGTTTTGTTACTGTATTGTCTCATGTTCTGTCCCTCACTATATGTACTGCGCTGAGCAAACCTTTTGGCGCTATATAAATACTGTATAATAATAGGCTGGACACTGATAGAAGTCACATGACTGCTCTATACTGCTGATGAGAAAAGGAATTTGGCAGTTTATATTTACTAAAATAATTGCATTACCATGTTCTGTGTACTGTGGGAGAGCGGATACAGTGAATGCGGGGTCCGGGGAGAGCGGATACAGTGAATGCGGGTCCGGGGAGAGCGGATACAGTGAATGCGGGGTCCGGGGGAGAGCGGATATAGTGAATGCGGGGTCCGGGGAGAGCGGATACAGTGAATGCGGGGTCCGGGGAGAGCGGATACAGTGAATGCGGGGTCCGGGGAGAGCGGACACAGCGAACGCGGGGTCGGGGGAGAGCGGACACAGCGAACGCGGGGTCCGGGGGCGGACACAGCGAGCGGGGATATAGTGAATGCGGGTCCAGGAAATAACACTTTAAAACACAGCCAATGCGGGTTCCGGGGGGAGCGGACACAGGAACTCCATCGGGGTCAGGGCTACGGAACAGCGAACGCGGGCTCTGATGAAGGGGAGTGATTTGGACCCTCGCTACAACAAAAAATGCGTTGAATGCGTTGAATGTCTTTTAACACAATATCACAGCGGACACAGTGAACGCGGGGCCAAGGGGGTGAGCGCTACAACAAACACAGCGAACGCGGGGTCCGGGGAGAGCGACACAGCGAACGTCGGGGTAACACGGGGAGAGCGGACACAGCGAACGCGGGGTCCGGGGTGAGCGGACACAGCGAACGCGGGGTCCGGGGAGAGCGGACACAGCGAACGCGGGGTCCGGGGAGAGCGGACACAGCGAACGCGGGGTCCGGGGGAGAGCGGACACAGCGAACGCGGGGTCCGGGGGGGGAGAGCGGACACAGCGAACGCGGGGTCCGGGGAGAGCGGACACAGCGAACGCGGGGTCCGGGAGAAGGCGGACACAGCGAACGCGGGGTCCGGGGAGAGCGGACACAGCGAACGCGGGGTCCGGGGAGAGCGGACACAGCGAACGCGGGGTCCGGGGAGAGCGGACACAGCGAACGCGGGGTCCGGGGAGAGCGGACACAGCGAACGCGGGGTCCGGGGAGAGCGGATATAGTGAATGCCGGGTCCTGGGTTTAAGAACACTTTAAAAGACAGCCAATGCGTTTTTGGGGTCCAAGGAACTCCACCTTTATCAGGGCTACAACAAAACATTATGCTCTGATGAAGGGGAGTGATTTGGACCCTCGAAATGCGTTGAATGTCTTTTAACACAATATCAATGAATACATTTGGACTCTTATCTTTTGGTCTGGCGCCCCTTCCATATATGCTCGTCTTTTTCTGGTAACCTGCTGGAGTACCTACCTGAGGGTAACCTTGCCTGGTGTGACCCGAGGCAATGTTTTTTACCCTCTCACTACCTTGTTTAAGTGCATATCAAACTCCCAGCGCCTCTTGGATGCCCTTTTTCTTCCCCATTGAGTCCACTGATAGAGACAAGGTCAGTCCAGCTAGAACACAGTGCAAATCCGACTGCAACTTACGGACTGGATCTGAAATATCTAATGGGAAGTTTTAAAAGAAAAAAGTGCAGATAGGCAATTTGTTTCAGCAGATCACAATCCGCTTCTGGTCTGCACTGTACCGTCCTTTACAAAATTTCCATCCAAGTTGAGACCCCGTGACATGGTCCAAAAATCTCACTCGTGAGACCCCAGCCACATGATAGGCTGGGTGCTGCCATTTGGCGCACAAGAACAGCAACCAACTCTTAATGTGGCCAAAACGTAACACTCCCACCATAAAACAAACATTGGGCGCCAATGGCCAACATCACCTAACATTTTCGATTGTCTTGTGGTCACAAGATGGTCCCCGTTCTCACTTTTATTTTCTGGTCTTATTAACTTATACAAAAGAAAACCCATAAAATACTGTAAACATTTTTTTTTAACAAACCAATTAGTCAAAGAGGCTTAGCGCAGTCATTTCTTTCTCATCGCGAAGGACGCCTCGGCTGTACAAAAATAGGTCAATACTGTCCCGTCATAAATATATACACGTCACATTCCTTCAGTAAAGTCTCCTGCAAAGCCTGTGAATGGATGTTCCCTGATAGACAAACTTCAGCTTCCAGCAGCTATAAAGTTAGATGCAGAATTAAAGTCTTGAGTCAGTGGCGGGGTTTGGGCGCAGTCACTCGTGTCCATACAGGTCGGCCAGGCGCCGAAAACGTGGACCCCAATCCTCTAAATGGTCGTAATCCTGATCGGTGTCGCTCTCACTGGATAGGATGGAACTCAAAGTGCCAGCCACAGAACCCTCCCCCTCGTAATCGTAAATCAAGGCCGTGTCGTATGGCGGGACGCTGGGATCGGAGTCCGCTGTTCGCAAACCCTGGAAGAAGATGAAGGAAATGTGGTTATTGTACAGCAGTGTTTCTCAACCTCTTTTCAGTCAAGGCACCCTTTAAAATTATGGACAGTCTTAGGCACCCTCTAAAATTATGGACAGTCTTGAAGCACCCTTCATAATTTTAGAAGATGCCTCAAGACTGTCCATAATTTTAGAAGGGTGCCTCAGGACTGTCCATAATTTTAGAAGGTGCCTCAAGACTGTCCATAATTTTAGAGGGTGCCTCAGGACTGTCCATAATTTTAGACAGTCCTGAGGCACCCTTCTAAAATTATGGACCGTCCTGAGGCACCCTTTAAAATTATGGACAGTCCCGAGACACCCTTTAAAATTATGGACAGTCCCGAGACACCCTTTAAAATTATGGACAGTCCCGAGACACCCTTTAAAATTATGGACAGTCCCGAGGCACCCTTTATAATTATGGACAGTCTTGAAGCACCTTCTAAAATTATGGACAGCCCTGAGGCACCCTTCTAAAATGGGGTGCCTCAAGACTGTCCAAAATTTTAAAAGGGTACCCCATTCTAAATTGTGAAAAATTATTCTAATATATGTAATGCAGCAACATCCAGACATGGAGGACACCCAATGTTGGAGGTGATTTCTTCTTCCAAAGCAAATACACTTTTGCACCCTGGTACTGACTAGTATTCCAGTTTTTTCTCTTCTCTCTCAGTTTTTCTCCATCACTGACCCCAGCACTGATGGAGAGGGGCGGGGAAGGGTCAAACTAGGATGCGCTGTGTAGGCAACTGACATGCACCTTATCAACTGATGATGCCATTGGTTGTCAGGATGCCAGCAGCTAGAAAGTCGAAATGGTGCCCAATGAAAACCCATGGCTTCGTGTAACTTAAAGGTGGGCTTGTTCCACCCGCTGGCTTGTATACAAGTTTTGGGCAATTTTTAGACATTTTGCCAAGGCACCTCTGAAGAAGCCAAGGCACCTCTGAAGAAGCCAAGGCACCCTGGTTGAAAAAGGCTGTCGTTGAGTATCAAACCAGCTAGTAAGGTACAAAAAAAAATTACAAATATTTTGAGTTGGTTAATTAATACACAATGCACCACATCCCTAGTAGTATGAAGATGGTGCTTTCAGAGGTGGAGAAACTTCCCCAAAGACATCGCAATTTATATATAAAAAACAACATTTATTATGTACATTTAAACCATTTTTGGCGCATATCATATAAATCCGCAAAGCGTTCAACATCAACATCTTTCTACACCTCGTGAGGCAGGAGACTCCATGCTACACTTCTGAAAAGAAGGTATACATTTTGTGTAGGATGATCCCATCAGCAGGATTCTATTATTCTTGTGCAGCATGATGGAACGTTTTTATGAACAGTTTGTACCGTTGGTAAACTGGTGAGGGGGAGCACTGGGCACCTTGGCTGCCATTGTGCTATGTGTCCAGTGCACTCCTGTGCCTTTAATGAGGGGTGGGCTCCCCTCCAGGCATACCTGCCCTCAATCTATCCATTATGATGCATGTGCTTCTACTATGGAGGCTATAATACCGGGGGGCCGTAAAGTGGCTCTGCAGCTTACATATATATTTGCAAACTAAACCCCTTGTTTTTAATGTGAACTGGACAGGTTTGTTGTAGGCTGGCTGGTAAGTTGAGCTTTCTTTGTTGCTGTTTGACATGAGCCGCCCTTCCATGCGCTCCTTGCTGCAGAAAGCCAGTTATAGGTTAGGGTGGTTGCCATTTGTAATTTTTATGAACTGACCTACCCTAATAACCAATCTAGTTGTCCCCCTCCTCACCCTACAACCTGACAGCACATTTCACCAATCCATCCTTAAACTGTTACATTGTGTTATGCAACCATTTTTCCCAGATGCCCCAAGAAGATCGTGGTGGGACGCTTCTCCTGCTGTATACTCACCTCATACTGGGGAATTTTCCTTCACTGTCAATATACACCATAATGCCCAAAGTATTGGGCCGCCGGCCTTTCCTCACACATGACCTTTAATGGCCCCCCAGTCTTAATCCGTAGGGTTCAATATTGAGTTGGCCCCGCCCTTTGCAGCTATAAAGCCCTTCAACTCTTCTGGGCCCCGCCCTTTCCATACACAACCTTTAATGGCCCCCCAGTCTTAGTCCGTAGGGTTCAATATTGAGTTGGCCCCGCCCTTTGCAGCTATAACAGCTTCAACTCTTTTGGGAAGGCCGTCCACAAGGTTTAGGAGGGTGTCTATGGGAAGGTTGGACCATTCTTCCAGAAGCACATTTGTCAGGTCAGGCACTGATGTCGGGGGAGGAGGCCTGGCTCGCAGTCTCCGCTCTAATTCATCCCAAAGGTGTTCTATGGGGTTGAGGTCAGGACTCTGTGCAGGACAGTCAAGTTCCTCCACCCCAAACTGGCTCCTCCATGTCTTTATGGACCTTGCTTTGTGCACTGGTGGGCAGTCATGTTGGAACAGGAAGGGGCCACCCCCAAACTCCTCCCACAAAGATGATAGCATGAAATTGTCCAAAATGTCACCTTAAGACTTCCCTTCACTGGAACTAGGTGGCCAAGTCTAACCCCTGGAAAACAGCCCCACACCATAATCCCCCCTCCACCAAACTTTACACTTGGTACAATGCAGTCAGGCAAGTACCGTTCTCCTGGCCACCGCCAAACCCAGACACATCCATAGGATTGCCAGACAGAGAAGAGTGATTGATCACTACAGAGAACACGTCTCCACTGCTCTAGAGTCCAGTGGCGGCGTGCTTTACACCACGGCATCCGACGCTTTGCATTGCACTTGGTGATGGAAGGCTTGAATGCAGCTGCTCAGCCATCTAAACCCATTCCATGAAGCTCTCTATGCACTGTTGTTGGGCTCATCTGAAGGCCACACCAAGTTTGGAGGTCTTTAGCTGTTGACTCTGCAGACAGTTGGCGACTTCTGCGCACTGTGCGCTTCAGCATGAAGCTGACCCCGCCCTGTCATGTGACGTGGCCTACCACTTGGTGGCTGAGTTGCTGTTGTTCCCAGTCGCTTCCACTTTATTATAATCCCACTAACAGTTGACCGTGGAATATTTAGTAGCCAGGAAATGTCACGGATGGACTTATTGCCCAGGTGGCCACCTATCACGGGACCACGCTTGGAGTCACTGAGCTCCTGAGAGCGACCCATTCTTTCACCAATGTTTGTAGAAGCCGTCTGCATGCCTAGGGGCTTGATTGTATACACCTGTGTCCATGGAGGGGATTGGAGCACCTGAATCACATGATACGGAGGGGATTGGAGCACCTGAATCACATGATTTGGAGGGGATTGGAACACCTGAATCACATGATATGGAGGGGATTAGAACACCTGAATCACATGATATGGAGGGGATTGGAACACCTGAATCACATGATTTGGAGGGGATTGGAACACCTGAATCACATGATATGGAGGGGTTTGGAACACCTGAGTCACATGATATGGAGGGGATGGGAACACCTGAATCACATGATATGGAGGGGATGGGAACACCTGAATCACATGATATAGAGGTCAGGCTCAATACTATTGCCAATATAGGGCATGTTAATATATGATACATGAGTACAACGTGTAGTTTGTCATGTATGAGGTTGAATGGCATGCTTAGGGGCGGTTATTATAAGTATTGCACGCTTCAGTGTTGAATGCTTTTTTGGTTTTTTATATGATATGCACCAAAAAGGTCTTAAATGTACATATTTTAAATGTTGTTGTTAGATATAAAATATGTTGTTTTTGGGAAGTTTCTGCACCTCTGAAAGTCCCGTCTTCTGCCTATTTTTTGGATAATAATAAGGTGAAAAACATGATATTCGAAAAACTCACATCATGTATGAAGTCTGCGATGTCAGAAGGGCGGTCAGATGGTCTCCGTGGGTAGCGAGGCAATGTCTGGCTGTAGGGTGCATCTCTGCGGATGGGGGGTTTCAGACGGGGCGATGGCGGCACTGGCATGGACGGGTTCCGGAGCCGATTCATATCATAGGCATCCTGTTGAAGCAGAACAGACTGTTATTGCTGATGAGGTTCGGATAGTTACTGAATCAGACAAGGAAAGCCCCATCACCGAGTGCAGCCTTGCCTCAGGTAGAGCGGGCCTTGCCTCGGGTAGAGCGGGCCTTGCCTCGGGTAGAGCGGGCCTTGCCCCGGGTAGAGCGGGCCTTGCCCCGGGTAGAGCGGGCCTTGCCCCGGGTAGAGCGGGCCTTGCCCCGGGTAGAGCGGGCCTTACCGTAGTCACTTGTTTTCTGGAACAATCATTTTTATTGGAATACAATGCAAGCAAAGAACACAAAGACTTGGTTCCCACGCAGGGGGAGAGGTGCAAATACAACTACAATAGTAACATTTATGTTTTCAATAACACAGCACTCTGACCAGCCTGACTAACTGGGCCAGGCCTAAATGGGGGATCTAAAAGGTCCAGGCCAAAAACTCTGGGGGGGGCGATTAATGTCGGGGGAGATGAGACTAAAATGGAATGATTTGGCCTCAACACTAAACGATATGTCTGGCGGAGATCCAATCCATCCAAATCCCACCATTCCTACATTAAAGCATGGAGGTGGTAATATCCTGTTATGGGGGGTGGAGGAATATAGCACTTGTCGGGATGGAAGTAAAAATGGACAATGGGGCAAAATCCCACCACATTCTGGAGGAAAATCTGCTGCCCTCGGCCAGAAAGTCGTCAATGGGAAGAAGGTTTGCCTTCCAACATGACAATCAGCCAAACCAAACAGTACCCCCCCCCCCCCCCTCCAGTGGTTGGAGGAGAATGTCCTTGCATGGCCTAGTCCAGGGGTGGGCAATGTGCGGCTCTCCAGCTGTTGCAGAACTACAAGCTCCATCATGCCTCTGCAAGTCATAGCTGTAACTGTCAGTTTTGCAATGCCTCATGGGAAATGTAGTTCCACAACAGCTGGGGAGCCGCACATTGCCCACCCCTGGCATAGTCAGAGCCCAGACTTCAACCCCATTGAAAATCTGTGGAATGACTGGAAGACTGCCGTCCACAAACCGTCCCCATCCATGGAACTGAACTTGAGCCGTTCTGCAGAGAAGAGCGGGAAAATATCGCAAAGTCTAGATGTGCAAAGTTAGGCTGGCCATACATTATACCATTTTCTTGAGGTTTTTTGGTTTAGATTGACCAAAAACCATATAATATGAGGTCAAAACTAACAACACTTTCAATTGTATCCAATTCGGCCGGCCCTAGCACTACATAGTTGAAGGTAAATCTAAAGGAAATTGGGCAGAAATTGGACAGAAAAATTGTATAGTGTATGGCCAGCCTCAGTAGAGACAAATCTACTAAAGGCTGTAATTACAGCAAAAGGGGGTTCAACAAAATACTGACACACAAGGGGGGGGGGGGGGATCCTTTTTCCAACTCAGTGATTCTGTTTTTGAAATGTTTTTTTCTAACATGTTGGTGTTCTATCTTTCACTTGGATGTTATAAGTCGCACTGAGTAAATACAGCTGGATAAAACAAAAACTGTGTCTGTCTTCATTTCAGTCTGCAGAGAAAAAAAATGTGATTATTTTAAAAAGGGGGAGGGGAGGGGATTCTTTTCTATACCCGCTGTATGAATATAAATCCTACATAGAAATAATCCAGGGAATGAACTAAACTCCTTGCTCCGCCATTATACTGTCAGGAGTGCCATGCACCACATCTATTTACAGCAGTAATACAGCATTTGTCCATAGAGAAAACTGCCGCAGGTGGTTCCCGCTGGGTGAGGCCTGCTGTACACAATGTGGGCTCACATCACTCTCTCTGCCCGTGCAGTGATTACACTACACAAGCAGAGCCTGCAGGGTTAACACCCCTCCTCCCTCCCGTTCTGAGCTGAGTGGGGGGACAGAGATAACAAAGAGATCGGAGTATGCAGCTCCAGCTCTCCTTTCTTTGTGCTGCCCGTCACATACATGGCAGAACAGAGAACTGACCACTCCTAATTACCAAAGGGGCTCGTGCCCCTTTGTTGTGTACAGGGGCGGACTGACAACTCATGGGGCCCCCGGGCAATAGGGGATCATGGGGCCCCTTTGTCCTTGCCCAAACTCAAAAAAGCCTATGAAAAAAGGTACCAGGGGCATCTCATGGGGCCCCCTACTGACCCCGGGCCCTCGGGCAGTGCCCAAGTTTTCAAATGGTCAGTCCACCCCTGGTTGTGTAGCAACGGCATCTATTCCATATTTTATGTTTAGAAGAGTGGTGCAAGCTTGTGCTTGCACAACGCTTTGTTAATTGCCCCCCAAGGGATACCCCTGATCCCCTGTGTCAGTGAGCAGCAGCTGCAGGGGAGAGGAGGGAGCACCAACAACAGCTGGGACATGGGAGCCTATGGATGATGTCACTGCTCCTGGAATTCCCAACTGTTGTTGAGTACAGTCCTCTGCTCTCTGCCGCAGGGGATCATGTGACCAGACTGAAGCAGTCTAAAATAGGTAAGTGTGCACATCTTTTTTCCACAGGGTAGGCGTGATGGTACGTAGCAGAAGGGGGTAGGGTTCAGCATAGTTAGACTTGGGCTGGAGTTCTGTTTGAATGTACTCTATATTAGTATTACAGTAAAGGGTATACAATGGCTGTAGGTGATTGGTGGAAGCGTACCTGGTCCTCTTCTCCTCCTCCCTGTTCGTTGTAGTTGAACACATTGTCCCGCACGTCATCCTCAGATTCGGACAGCAGACCCTTGTTGGCTGCATTTCTGGAGTTGCAACGAAACATGAGAAGCAGCAGGATCAACACTGCCAATACATGGAAGAGAACGTCAGAGGTGAGCAAACGCCAGTTTTGGGAAATCTGTAACATCAGATATCTCTATTCCCCAAAATGGCTTTTTTCTTCCAGGTGAAGCGGGGAGGAGGGTTCAACCCCCTGCAAGGCCCTGTTTAGGACCTTTGAACAGAACATGGAGATACGTGTCTTCATGTATGGGCCCAGCCAAGTCCAGCTCCTTGACCAACCTAGGCTGAGTGTTCTCCATCAGCAGCAAAGCACAGAACGATCATTCACTCTCTGCTGGACACTCCATTGGAATCTATAGGGAATGCTCAGATCGTGACACTGCTAGCTTAGCTGAAAAGTTGAACTTTGCCGGTCACGGTGATGGTGGGTGGAAAGCACAGTGAGGATCCTACGGGGGACCGACCAGGGCTGCTGTTAGAAACCATGGAGGCCCCATACAGCCAACCTGAACCCCCCCCCCACCCCAATAAAGAAAACAAAGCAAAAAAACATAGTTATGAATGAACACAGTTAGCGATCGGTACTGATGACATTGTTTTCATTCAGGAAAGGAAGGGGCTGGTAAATGTAACATATTTACCAGACCCTTTCCCACTTTCCATCCTGAGGGATCCTATTGTGTGCTTGCAGTTGCTGGTGGGAAGGTGGCAGCACTGTGGTGGTGGGGGGCACACAGGGGATCCTGGGAAGTAGGGGAAATGTATGGGGCACAGGGAGGGTAATGGGTGCAGCAGGAGGGGAAATTACTGGGACCGATCCCCTGTATTGTTCTCTCTGCTTCAGCTGAAAGTCAGTGAGAGGAAGAGAAGGAGAAGCCATCTTTCAGCTGCTGCAGAGAGAGCTATTCAGGGGATCGGTTCCAGTAATTGTCCCCCCCCCCCCCAGCCATGCCGATCACCCTCCCTGCCCACATCCAATTTACCCATCTGCCTAGGCTCCCTGTTGGCCTGGGTCCCGTACAGGAGGACTGGTGGTACCCACTTTTCCACGGCCCTGGAGCAGACCATGCCCCACTCCATAATTGGATAAATCTATTTCTAGTTCTGTCCTTTAATGGACCAAAACCAAAAATATATATATACATATGTGTGGCGTGTGTGCATTAAAGCCCACCCTCTTTGCCACCACACATATGTGTTACACGGGTGGCAAGGGGTTAAAGTGTATGTACACCCCAACATTAAATTTGCTGGCTTCTGGTCTGTTAAACACACAGCCGGGGGTGCAGGGGTCCGAGGGTTTGAAATTCCCGCTCTTCTTTCTGCAGAGCTTCCAAGACGGATTCTGATTGGTCAAAGTGGTCACACGCCAATCAAAATTGCTCTGAAAGAAGATTGGGTAGAAGAGCGGGCTATCAAATCCCCAGACCGCTGCACCGGCTGCATGGGCTGTGACAGCTGATCACCCATGAAGCTAAGTGCGGTGGGGACGGAGATGGGGGTTGTTTGGGGTTGTAGGGCGTTGGTTCACGTTGTCATTTTCTGTGAAAAGGTGAACTTACACTTTAAAAGGACAAGCTTGCCAGGAAAGTTCTTACAAGGTACTCTCTCGCTGGTACATGACCCCGGTGTTCCCTCTGCTTCTCTCTTTTGTTTTCGGGGGTTATAGGGAACCTGGCACCCTCCTCCAAATCTGCTGTTTTCAGATTTTGGACCCAGGTCTGCTCTCTCATTGGATTGGTTCTGTCTGTTACCTCATCACGTAACCCCTGGGAAGCCTTGCTGCAGGAGTCCATCCTGTCCTTGACCAAAGCACAGAGGAAACGGGTGGACTTGGTCTCCCTGGCAGAAAGCGGACCATAGCTAAGGCTTGCCACCAACCGTTCCTCCATGTTGCTGAGGTTAAACAGCTCTTCCCTGGCACTACGGTACACAGGAAGCTCACGTCCATTCTCATGGACACCCAACTCCAAGTTCCTGAAGGTTTGGGACCCTTGGATAAATTTCAACGACCATTTAGGTCTGGACCACTCCCTGCTATTGAGATGACTATTAGAGCGACCCTAGAAGTCTATGGGGCGCGACTTCCCCTAGAAGTCTATGGGGCACGACTCCCTATAGAAGTCTATGGGGGGCGCGACTTCCCCTAGAGGTCTATGGGGGGCGCGACTTCCCCTAGAGGTCTATGGGGGGCGCGACTTCCCCTAGAGGTCTATGGGGGGCGCGACTTCCCCTAGAGGTCTATGGGGGGCGCGACTTCCCCTAGAGGTCTATGGGGGGCGCGACTTCCCCTAGAGGTCTATGGGAGGCGCCACTTCCCCTAGAGGTCTATGGGAGGCGCCACTTCCCCTAGAGGTCTATGGGAGGCGCCACTTCCCCTAGAGGTCTATGGGGGGCGCCACTTCCCCTAGAGGTCTATGGGGGGGGGCGCCACTTCCCCTAGAGGTCTATGGGGGGCGCCACTTCCCCTAGAGGTCTATGGGAGGCGCCACTTCCCCTAGAGGTCTATGGGAGGCGCCACTTCCCCTAGAGGTCTATGGGGGCGCGACTTCCCCTAGAGGTCTATGGGAGGCGCCACTTCCCCTAGAGGTCTATGGGGGGCGCCACTTCCCCTAGAGGTCTATGGGGGGCGCCACTTCCCCTAGAGCTCTGTGGGAGGCGCGACTTCCCCTAGAGGTCTATGGGAGGCGCCACTTCCCCTAGAGGTCTATGGGAGGCGCGACTTCCCCTAGAGGTCTATGGGGGTGCCACTTCCCCTAGAGGTCTGTGGGAGGCGCGACTTCCCCTAGAGGTCTATGGGAGGCGCCACTTCCCCTAGAGGTCTATGGGAGGTGTTTTCCCCTAGAAGTCTATGTGGCGCGACTTCCCGTAGAAATCTATGGCAGACAGTGTGTGTGAACCCTGGTGCCAGGATGCAAGTTCTAGTCGCCATTGCGATCTGGTGCCTGTAATTTGTCAAGCCCTGCTTTAGCGGACACGGACCAGCCATCCGCCTGCTCAGCGGGAATCAGGGGTCTCCTGGAGTCCGTTCCGCGTTGAAGGGGCCTGAAGGACAAGCTTAGGTTTTGATAAAACATCCCCAGCCCCCACTCCCTGACCCCCCTAACATACTCCGATCCCCCCCACCCTTAATGACGATGGAAATATGGCTCAGGACAGACAAGTCTGAGCTCAGCACCGCGGTGGACTTGATGCATCAACAATCCCACCAGACCAGCTGAGGCTTCCATGACCTGGGCAGTCAGCACACGGAGGTGACATGACCCCTGGGCCGATCATAGGTGTCACTCACCCAGTAAGAGGGCCACGCTGCTCATGATGATGATGAGGGCCGTTAGACTGATGCCGGCTCCTGAGCTGAAGAGAGTCGCTGCGCTGCCACTACAGATGCCCACCGAGTCACACTGGCACGCGGTCACATTCAGCACATGTAGCTGTGCCAGGGGTGGATCTCCAGAGTCCGACACCAACAAGGGCAGCGGGTAGAGGCCGGGCTCCACCTCGCTCAGCAGTTCCAGCATGGCGTGGGTACCTGGAGAGGAGAGATCAGCATCATCAATACGAGCGACCATCTGTCAGGAGGGCCAACCTCATCTTCTCATTTATGAGGGCCACAACATCGATCATGTGTTTTTGTGGTTCTTTATGTCTTCCTGTGCTGGTGACACCACAACCCTCTCATTTCTAGCACTGTTGTCACCGATACAGGAAGTGAGGGGAAATCTTCCCAGTGAGAACACAGACAGCAAACACGGTAAAAACGCATCAAAAACACAAAACGAAGTGCGAAAAGCACACAGAGGGGGAATCTCCCTAACAGGGAGATAGATGGGGAATCTCCCTAATGGGGACACACAGGGAGAATCTCCACAACAGGGGCACACAGGGAGAATCTCCATAATGGGGACACACAAGGGGAATCTCCCCAACAGGGGCACACAGGGGGAATCTCCCTAAAGGGGGGCACACAGGGGAAACGTCCATAAAAGGGACACAGAGGGGGAATCTCCCTAACATGGACACAGAAGGGGAATCTCCCTAACATGGACACAGAGGAGAAATCTCCCTAACGGAGGCACAGAGGGGGAATCTCCCTAACGGAGGCACAGAGGGGGAATCTCCCTAATGGGGGCACAGAGGGGGAATCTCCCTAACATGGACACAGAAGGGAATCTCCCTAACATGGACACAGAGGAGAAATCTCTCTAACATGGACACAGAAGGGGAATCTCCCTAACGGAGGCACAGAGGGGGAATCTCCCTAACGGAGGCACAGAGGGGGAATCTCCCTAACGGAGGCACAGAGGGGGAATCTCCCTAATGGGGGCACAGAGGGGGAATCTCCCTAACATGGACACAGAAGGGGAATCTCCCTACATGGGGACACAGAGGAGAAATCTCTCTAACATGGACACAGAAGGGGAATCTCCCTAACGGAGGCACAGAGGGGGAATCTCCCTAACGGAGGCACAGAGGGGGAATCTCCCTAATGGGGGCACAGAGGGGAATGCACAGAGGAGAAATCTCCCTAACGGGCACACAGAGGGGGAATCTCCCTAACGGGGACACAGAGGGGGAATCTCCCTAACAGGGACACACAGGGGGAATCTCCCTAACAGGGACACACAGGGGGGGAATCTCCCCAATGGGGGTACAGAGGGGAAATCTCCCTAATAGGGACACAGGGGAATCTCCCTAATGGGGACACAGGGGGAATCTCCCTAACGGGGACACAGGGGGGGAATCTCTGTAATGGGGACACAGGGGGGGAATCTCCCTAATGGGGACACAGAGGGGAATCTCCCTAACGGGGACACAGAGGGGGAATCTCCCTAACAGGGACACACAGGGGGAATCTCCCCAATGGGGGCACAGAGGGGAAATCTCCCTAACGGGGACACGGGGAATCTACCTAATGGGGACACAGGGGGGGAATCTCTGTAATGGGGACACAGGGGGGGGGGAATCTCCCTAATGGGGACACAGATTGGGAATCTCCCTAAGGAACACAGAGGGGGAATCTCCCTAATGGGAACACAGAGGGGGAATCTCCCTAATGGGAACACAGAGGGGGAATCTCCCTAATGGGAACACAGAGGGGGAATCTCCCTAACAGAGACACAGAGGGGGAATCTCCCTAACAGAGACACAGAGGGGGAATCTCCCTAACAGAGACACAGAGGGGGAATCTCCGTAATGGGGACACAGGGGGAATCTACCTAACGGGGACACAGACAGCAATAAAACCCGACAGGGGGTCTCACCCCTCCCCTCCATCCAACACTAGAATCAGTTTTGCCTTTAGTTACTTCCTCCATGTTTCGGCTTTCGACAGATAAACCCCACACATTGCTTTGTACATATTGTGACCCGTATTGGAGTCGTTTTCCGTCTCTCTTACCATTGAGGTCGCTGACGCTCCAGTTGAGGGTCCACACCCTGGAGGACTCATCCAGCTGGAAGTGGAAGGGGTGGGCTTGGGGTGGCAGATCTTCATCGGTGGCACTCAGTAGGGCGCCCCGGCCCAGACGCGGGTCACTGCACAGCTCCACGGAAAGCTGCTGTAATAGCGGAGCGTGGTCATTCAGCTCCACCACCTCCACCGAGAGCGTCCCCGTGCCACTCAGCGGGGGAAGGGCTGTGGGAAAGACATAGAACAAAGTGGATTTAAAATCGTCCTTGTTGAGGCGTAAAGTATCTGACAACCCAACATTGAACTTCGATTAGTGGCTCAATTCTGGTCTGTTAAATAGATCACTGAAAGCATTTAGTTAGATCTGTTTAATGAATGTGAAAAAAAATCCTGTTCATGCCAGAAGTCTAGTCTCACTGCTGTCTGTGGACTATAGAACACCTCCCATCTATGTTACAGAGAAGACAAGAAGCAAAGGTGCTCTGTAGTCCTGATCATCCAAGGCAGGAGTCTCCAAACCTTCTAAACAAAGGGCCAGTTTACTGTCCTTCAGACAATAGAAAGGCTGGACTAGGGCTAGTGGGACTAGAAAATGTCCTGGCATCCAGTTGGAGTAAACAGTTCCCTGCCCTTGGAGCCAATGGAAGGAATTCTGCCCCACCGTTGGTGTCAGTGGAAGGAATAGTGCCCCATCATTGGTGTCAGTGGAAGGAATAGTGCCCCATCGTTGGTGTCAGTGGAAGGAATAGTCCCCCCCCATCATTGGTGTCAGTGGAAGGAATAGCTCCCCATTATTGGTGTCAGTGGGAGGAATAGTGCCCCATCATTGGTGTCAGTGGGAGGAATAGTGCCCCATCATTGGTGTCACTGGGAGGAATAGTGCCCCATCATTGCTGTCAGTGGAGGAATAGTGCCCCATCATTGGTGTCACTGGGAGGAATAGTGCCCCATCATTGGTGTCAGTGGGAGGAATAGAGGAATAGTGCCCCATCATTGGTGTCAGTGGAAGGAATAGTCCCCCATCATTGGTGTCAGTGGAAGGAATAGTGCCCCATCGTTGGTGTCAGTGGGAGGAATAGTGCCCCATCATTGCTGTCAGTGGGAGGAATAGTGCCCCATCATTGGTGTCACTGGGAGGAATAGTGCCCCATCATTGCTGTCAGTGGGAGGAATAGTGCCCCCATCATTGGTGTCACTGGGAGGAATAGTGCCCCATCATTGGTGTCACTGGGAGGAATAATGCCCCATCATTGCTGTCAGTGGGAGGAATAGTGCCCCATCATTGGTGTCAGTGGGAGGAATAGTGCCCCATCATTGGTGTCGGTGGGAGGAATAGTGCCCCATCATTGGTGTCAGTGGGAGGAATAGTGCCCCATCATTGGTGTCAGTGGGAGGAATAGTGCCCCATCATTGGTGTCAGTGGGAGGAACAGTGCCCTGTCGTCAGTGGAAGGAATAGTCCCCCATCATTGGTGTCAGTAGGAGGAAGAGTGCCCCATTGTGTTGGTGTCAGTGTGGGGTGGGGGGGGGGGAATAGTGCCCCACCATTGGTGCCAGTGGAAGGAATTCTGCCCGATCGTTGGTGTCAATGGAAGGAATATTGCTCCATCATTGGTGTTGGTGGGAGGAATAGAGGCATAGTGCCCCATCATTGGTGTCAGTGGGAGGAATAGTGCCCCGTCGTTGGTACCAATGGAAGGAATTCTGCCCCATCATTGGTGTCAGTAGAAGGAATAGAGGAATTCTTCCCCATCATTGGTGCGAGTGGGAGGAATAGTGTCTTATTGCTGGCCCCAATGGAAGGAATTATGCCCCATCATTGGTGTCAGTGGGAGGAATAGTGCCCCATCATTGGTGTCAGTGGGAGGAATAGTGCCCCATCATTGGTGTCAGTGGGAGGAATAGTGCCTCATTTTTGGTGTCAGTGGGAGGAATAGTGCCCCAAGAGCCAGATAAAGGCAAGCAAAGGGCTGCATCTGGCTCCTGGGCCGCAGTTTGGAGCTTGCTGTCCTAGGGTGACAATGCTATTTCCCAGTCCCAACCTTGGGTAGACACCCAAAAGCCTGAGATGGACGCTGGGTGCCGCCATCTTGGATGCGCTAACAGGGGCCGCAGCAGACCCAGAGCTGGTATTCAACTGACACTACTGTATTCCCTTTTGCTGGTATGCAGAAAAGTGAGAGGAGCTGGGTCAGCACAGAAAGTAATCAGACACTCCAAGAAAAGGGCTACGATGTGCAAGGAGGGAGGGGGCGGAGCTAGGGAACTGACTCTTCCTAAAGTAGTCAAATTTGCTTTGAAGTTTAGAGACACTTTGAAGGTCAATAAAAACATATTTTATGGAAAAGAAATAAAAGTAAACATTCCAAACATTTGATCTGCTACCTGGAATCTTTCAATGTGGTGACAGGGTCTCTTTAGGTGTTTCTGATGTGAAATAGGAAAGCTATTCAGCGGGGACAGGCTTGGAGTTCTCACCATTGTCGGTGGCTCTGATCAGTGCCGTGTACCACCCTCCCTGCAGGAACGGGGACTTCGGGTCCATGGTGTAGGTGGTCCATATCTTTCCAGTCTGTGAATCCAAAAGCAGCCAATTTGCCGGGTCAGAGACCAAAGAGTAACTGGAGAAGGAGAACGTGGTGAGTTATTAATGGACACAGAGGCACCTTTGTAACATCAGACATTTACAAGTTCCGGGAATTTGTCTCACATGAAAACCAACCGTGAAAATGTAACAACAGAACAAACTACGCATATCATCCTAGTATAAGTACAGTGGATGTAAAAAGTCTTTCACACCCCCCGTTAAAATGTCAGGTTTCTGTGATGTAAAAAAATTAGACAAAGATCAATCATTTCATAACTCTTTCACCTTTAATGTGACCTATAAACTGTACAACTCAAGTAAAAAACAAACTGAAATCTTTTGGGGGGGGGAGTAAACATGAAAAACTAAAAGAAACTGGTTGCATAAGTGTGCACACCCCTCTTATAACTGGGGATGTAGCTGTGTGCAGAATGAAGCAATCACATTCGCAATCGTATTACATAGGAGTCAGTACACACCCGCCATCATTTATAGTGCCTCTGCTTAACCCCAAATAAAGTGCAGCCGTTCTAGTAGATCTTTCCTGACATTTTCTTAGTCGCATCCTACAGCAAAAGCCATGGTCCGCAGAGAGCTTCCAAAGCATTACAGCAGGGGTGTCAAACTGGCGGCCCTCCAGCTGTTGTGAAACTACAAGTCCCATCATACCTCTGCCTTTGGGGGTCATACTTGTAACTGTTCATCTTGCAATGCCTCATGGGACTTGTAGTTTGGCAACAGCTGGAGGGACACCAGTTTGACACCCGTGCATCAGAGGGATCTCATAGTTAAAAGGTATCAGTCAGGAGAAGAGTACAAAAGAATTTCCAAGGCATTAGATATCCCATGGAACACGGTGAAGACAGTCATCATCAAGTGGAGAGAATATGGTTCAACAGTGACATCACCAACAGTGACACCACCAACAGTGACACCACCAACAGTGACACCACCAACAGTGACATCACCAAGAACTGGACGTCCCTCCAAAATGGATGAAAAGACGAGAAGAAAACTGTCTGGGAGGCGGCCAAGAGGCCTACAGCAACATGAAAGGAGCTGCAGGAATATCTGGCAAGTCCTGGCTGTGTGGTCCATGTGGCACCAATCTCCCGTATTCTTCATATGTCTGGTCTATGGGGTAGAGTGGCAAGATGGAAGTCTTCCCTTACAAAGAAAAACATCCAAGCCCAGCTACATTCAGCAAAAACCCATCTGAAGTCTCCCAAAATCATGTGGGAAAATGTGTTCTGGTCTGATGGAACCAAGGTTGGACTTTTTGGCCATAATTCCAAAAGACATGTTTGGCGCAAAAACATTACACATCACCAAAAGAACACCATACCCACCGTGAAGCATGGTGGTGGCAGCATCATGCTTTGGGGCTGTTTTTCTTCCACTGCAACTGGGGCCTTAGTCAAGGTAGAGGGAATTATGAACAGTTCCAAATACCGGTCAATATCGGCACAAAACCTTCAGAGTTCTGCTAGAAAGCTGCATGAAGAGGAACTTCATCTTCCAGCATGGCAACGACCCAAAGCATCCATCCAAATCCACAAAGGGATGGCTTCACCAGAAGAAGAGGAAAGTTTTGGAATGGCCCAGCCAGAGCCCAGGCCTGAACCCGATGGAAAATCTGTGGGGGGATCTGAAGAGGGCTGTGCGCAGGAGATGACACACAATCTGACAGATTTGGAAGAGCGGGCAAATATTGCCGAGTCAGGATGTGCCGTGCTGATAGACTCCTCCCCAAAAAAAGACTGAGCAACAGAATCACATAAAAAATGACCCCTCTAGTGATATAAAGATCTATATAGAGGAATCAGGACCTCCTTCCTCCTGCCGGTGACCCCTCTAGTGATATAAAGATCTATATAGGGGAATCAGGACCTCCTTCCTCCTGCCGGTGACCCCTCTAGTGATATAAAGATCTATATAGAGGAATCAGGACCTCCTTCCAGTGAGGGCTCATTTAAATTCTTCACGATCCCACCCAAGCAAGCACCCTCCCAAACCACTGCGCTGTGTGTCCATTCATACAGAGCCTTGGCTTGGCCCCACCCTCCTTATTGGCTCACTGGCTGTGATTGACAGCAGTGGGAGCCATAGGTTCAGCCAATGAGGAGGAAGAGTCCCCGGAGAGCTGAGGCTCTTGTGCACATCCCTGGATCATGATGAGGCTCAGGTAAGTATTGAGGGGGAGCTGCAGTACACAGAAAGTTTTTTACCTTCATACACAGAATGCAGAACCTTCAGCCTTTAGCCGTGTTGTCAGCCAGCAATGCATGCTCCTTCAGGTGGCCCTTTGGCTGCCTATCGGTGCTATGAGATAGAGAGCTTCAAAAACGCTGATCTCCTGGGATTTTCCTGCACAACCATCTCTAGGGTTTACAGAGAATGGTCTGAAAAGGAGAAAATATCCAGTGAGGGGCAGTTGTGTGGAGAAAAATGCCTTGTTGGTGTCAGAGGTCAGAGGAGAATGGGCAGACTGGTTGGAGATGATAGAAAGGCAACAGTAACTCCAATAACCCCTCATTACACCCAAGGTATGCAGAATACCATCTCTGAATGCACAACACGTCCAACCTTAAAGCAGATGGGCTACAGCAGCAGAAGACCACACCGGGTGCCACTCCTGTCAGAACGGGAAATGGAGGCTAAAATTCGCACAGGATCATCAAAATGGGACAACAGAGAATTGGGGAAAACGTTGCCTTGTCTGATGAGTCTGGATTTCAGCTGAAACATTCAGATGGTAGGGTCAGAATTTGGGGTAAACAACATGAAAGCATGGATCCATCCTGCCTTGTATCAACGGTTCAGGCTGGTGGTGTCATGGTGTGGTGGATCCATCCTGCCTTGTATCAACGGTTCAGGCTGGTGGTGTCATGGTGTGGTGGAACCATCCTGCCTTGTATCAACGGTTCAGGCTGGTGGTGGTGGTGTCATGGTGTGGTGGAACCATCCTGCCTTGTATCAATGGTTCAGGCTGGTGGTGGTGGTGTGGTGGATCCATCCTGCCTTGTATCAACGGTTCAGGCTGGTGGTGGTGGTGTCATGGTGTGGTGGATCCATCCTGCCTTGTATCAACGGTTCAGGCTGGTGGTGTCATGGTGTGGTGGAACCATCCTGCCTTGTATCAACGGTTCAGGCTGGTGGTGGTGGTGTCATGGTGTGGGGGATCCATCCTGCCTTGTATCCACGGTTCAGGCTGGTGGTGGTGGTGTCATGATGTGGTGGATCCATCCTGCCTTGTATCCACGGTTCAGGCTGGTGGTGGTGGTGTCATGGTGTGGTGGATCCATCCTGCCTTGTATCCACGGTTCAGGCTGGTGGTGGTGGTGTAAGGGTATGGGGGAGATTTTCTTGGCACACTTTGGGCCCCTTAGTACCAATTGAGCATCGTTTTATCCCCACGGCCTACCTGAGTATTGTTGCTGACCATGTCCACCCCTCTATGACTCCAGTGTCCCCATCTTCTGATGGCTCCTTCCAGCAGGATAATGCTCCATGTCACAAAGCTCAAATCATCTCCAACTGGTTTCTTAAACATGACAATGAGGTCACTGGACTCCAATGGCCTCCACAGTCACCAGATCTCCATCCAATAGAGCCCCTTTGGGATTTGGAGGAACGGGAGATTCCCATCATGGATGTGCAGCCAACAAATCTGCAGCAACTGCGTGATACTATCATATCAATATGGAGCAAAATCTCTGAGGAACGTTTCCAGCACCTTGTTGGATCTATGCCACAAAGAATGAAGGCAAAAGGGGGTCCAACCCGGGACTAGCAAGGTGGACCTCATAAAGTGGCCGGTGAGTGTAAACAATGAAGTTATAGAGCTAACATCACAGCATACGGGACAATGTCTCACCGGATGTCCTGGGCCAGACCGCTGTCTGGATCTATCGCCATGTACACCGCGACGTCACTCCCCGGGGGGCTCCCCTCTTTCACTCTTGCCACCATGGGATTTTCCAGGAAGACGGGGGGCTCATTTAAATTCTTCACTATCACAGTGACTCGCGCTTTCGAGCGGGGAGTGCGGGGAACCGAAGGGAGGAGCGGCTTGTCGTTCTGGACGGACAGGGTCAGGTTATACATGGCTGTCACCTCGTGATCTAGAGGCTGGAGAACACAAGAGAGAAGAACGTTACTGAGCTGCAATATATTAGAATGCAATGTGAGAACATCTGGAGAACATGAGCTCCTGCTGCAATACTCACCCCCTATCCAGGGCTGTACCCCACAGACTCACCGCTCAGTGCCCACCACGGGTCCTCTTCTAGGTTGGATGACATCTAGTGCCATCCACTCACGTCTCCGGGCATTGCACTCCCAGTACAAGGAAGCAGAGAATGGCGCTGACGTCAATATGTCCTAGGTCTGGGGTCTCCAAACTTTCTAAACATAGGGCCACTTTACTGTCCATCAGACTTTCGGGGGGGCCGGAATGTGGCCATTGGGAGTAGAAATTTTCCTAGCACCAGTGGGAGTAAACAACGCATCTTTGGTATTAAAGGGAGGAATAGTGCTCAGTAGTGTCATTGGGAGGAATAGTGCCCCATCGTTGGTGTCACTGGGAGGAAATAGTGCCCCATCGTTGGTGTCACTGGGAGGAAATAGTGCCCCTTCATTGGTGAAAGTGAGAGGAATAGTGCCCCATCGTTGGTGTCAGTTTGAGGAATAGTGTCGTATTGTTGAATCACTGGGGGGAAATAGTGCCCCATCATTGGTGTCAGTGGGAGGAATAGTGCCCCATCATTGGTGTCGGTGGCAGGAATAGTGCCCCATCGGTAGGTGTGCACCAGGATTGCTGTCAATGGAAGGAATAGTGCCCCATTTTTGGTGTCACTGGGAGGAAATAGTGCCCCATCATTGGTGAAAGTGAGAGGAATAGTGCCCCATCGTTGGGGTGTCATTTTTATTTGAGGAATAGTGCCCCATCATTTTTATCAGTGGGAGGAACAGTGCCCCATCATTGGTGGTGGGAGGAAGAGTGCCCCATCATTGGTGTCAGTGGGAGGAATAGTGCCCCATCATTGGTGTCGGTGGCAGGAATAGTGCCACATCTTTGGTGTCAGTGGGAGGAATAGTGCCCCATCATTGGTGTCAGTGGGAGGAATAGTGCCCCATCATTGGTGTCAGTGGGAGGAAGAGTGCCCCATCATTGGTGTCAGTGGGAGGAATAGTGCCCCATCATTGGTGTCAGTGGGAGGAATAGTGCCCCATCATTGGTGTCAGTGGGAGGAATAGTGCCCCATCATTGGTGTCAGTGGGAGGAATAGTGCCCCATCATTGGTGTCAGTGGGAGGAATAGTGCCCCATCACTGGTGTCAGTGGGAGGAATAGTGCCCCATCATTGGTGTCAGTGGGAGGAATAGTGCCCCATCATTGGTGTCAGTGGGAGGAATAGTGCCCCATCATTGGTGTCAGTGGGAGGAATAGTGTCTTGTATTAGTGGGAGGAAACGTGTCCCCAGGACCAGATAAAGGCAAGCAAAGGGTCACATCCGGCCCCCCGGCCACAGTTTGGAGACCACTGCCCTAGGTTTCACTTTACAGGAGGTAGTGTCAGTGGCTCTGAGCGGACCGCCCCACCCCCTAAACGCAAACCAACCCCCTCCCCCCCCTGCAGCAGCTGTCACTTTTGAAATCACCATGGCTGGGCGGGGCACTGCAGCTCGTTGGCACTTCCTCCAGCTCTCCAACTGAAAGCCCCGACCTCAACGCAGACATGACCCTGCAGGAGCCTGGCATTGCACCCCCGATCCAATGACCACATGTACAATGCTTTGCAGGTGCCTATGCAAAAAAAATATTAAAATGTCAATATTTTTCCTGCAACAATATCTGCATTTATTAGTTTTTTTGGGCGGAGTTAGCCTTTAATAATGTCATTTTTATGCTGCATAATGAAACCACAACCTGTATAGACGCAGCAAAGTGGCGCCCTCTACTGTTTATTTTTAAGTACTGCATTAAATTTTAGATTGCTCGTGGAGTCCAGAATTCAGCCGCCTCTACATGTCTCCATGGATGTTACGTGTGAGGAGGATGTCTGTACGGGTATAACATTTTGAATCTGTGTAAAGGGGGGGGGGGGGGTCATGCTGAATGGCAACCCCACACATGTAAAAATCCAGCGCGTTTGTGGGTGCAGGAACTGCGGGAAAATCGCATAGTCTAAATGACCATGCAACTTCCCTGGGGGCTGACACAGAGGTCTATGCAAATCGCAACAAAAGTAGCGCATGTACTATTTAGAAATGGGCGTGGCGCCGGCCAAGTCCACCGATAGGACCGCTGTTATTGCAGACAATAGGGTGCGACTTGGCATGTGATTTGCAAGTCGCATGGCATGCAAATCGCATGCCAAGTCGCACCCAGTGTGACCGGGGATTTACGCTTTGGCAATAAAACCTGGAAGCTGATTGGCTTCTAGGCAGAGCTGCTCCAGATTTTGCACCCTCCAGTTTTAGTACATAAACCCCCCCCATAGTGACAACGGAAACTGACCCCCATTTACGGCCCAGTGTCAGTTTGGAAACTGCCATTACCTTGACCACAGACAGGATCCCCTCGTTGGTCTGGGGGTCTGTAAGAATCGAGAAGGCACCCTGGGGGTCCCCGGCAGTGATTGAGTACTGCACCAGCCAGTTGGGGGAGCCGCGGAGGGGTCTCGGTCTGTTACGCTCACTCTGCCGATATCCACACCGCTGGTCTGTTCCGGAACCTCCAGGAGAAACTGCAAGAACAAAGGAGATCCAAAGGAATGGAGAGACAAGAAAACTGCCAATATACAGAGACTTCCCTGCTGTACATATGTCTCTGCCATGACCGTCTATACTGACCAGGAAGAAGTATACAGACTGGGAAGTCTTGATTTGCACCCCCTGCTCCAGTCAGTGCCTTACAAACTACTGAAGCCACTGGATCAGCATGACAGCCAAGCACGTAGCATTTTCTAAAGCAGAGATCATGAATGGCAACCTCCAGGAAAGGCAGGCCTGCTGCACTTTAAAGTGTTAATAAACCCCGGACCTAGCATTCACTGTATCCGCTCTCCCCGGACCCCGCATTCACCGTATCCGCTCTCCCAGGACCCCGCATTCACCGTATCCGCTCTCCCCGGACTCCACATTCACCGTATCCGCTCTCCCCGGCCATTCACTATATCCGCTCTCCCCGGACCCCGCCCGTATCCGTTCACCGTATCGCTCTCCCCGAACCCGCCATTCACTATATCCGCTCTCCCCGGACCCCGCGTTCACCGTATCCTCTCTCCCCGGACCCCGCATTCACTATATCCGCTCTCCCCGGACCCCGCATTCACCGTATCCACTCTCCACGGACCCCGCATTCCCTATATCCACTCTCCCCGGACCCCGCATTCCCTATATCCGCTCTCCCCGGACCCCGCATTCACTATATCCGCTCTCCCCGGACCCCGCATTCACTATATCCGCTCTCCCCGGACCCCGCATTCACTATATCCGCTCTCCCCGGACCCCGCATTCACTATATCCGCTCTCCCCGGACCCCGCATTCACTATATCCGCTCTCCCCGGACCCCGCATTCACTATATCCGCTCTCCCCGGACCCCGCATTTACTATATCCCCTCTCCCCGGACCCCGCATTCACTATATCCGCTCCCCGGACCCCGCATTCACTATATCCGCGCTCCCCGGACCCATATGTGATGAGCCCGAGGAGCCGCCCACCTTACCTCACTATGCGTGAACTCCGGAGCGTTGTCGTTGAGGTCTCCTATAGAAATGACGACTCTGGCGGTGTTGGCGAGCCCTTCCCCCATCATATCGGCCACTTGGACAGTAAGGTTGTATGACCCCACCGACTGGAGAGACAAAGAGAGGAATTCACTTCTATAGCGCCAACATATTCCATAGAGAGTACGGAGCAATGTGCATCAACCCAAACATATTCCATAGAGAGTACGGAGCAAAGTGCATCAACCCAACATATTCCATAGAGAGTACGGAGCAATGTGCATCAACCCAACATATTCCATAGAGAGTACGGAGCAAAGTGCATCAACCCAACATATTCCATAGAGAGTAGGGAGCAAAGTGCATCAACCCAACATATTCCATAGAGAGTAGGGAGCAAAGTGCATCAACCCAACATATTCCATAGAGAGTACGGAGCAATGTGCATCAAGCCAACATATTCCATAGAGAGTAGGGAGCAAAGTGCATCAACCCAACATATTCCATAGAGAGTACGGAGCAATGTGCATCAAGCCAACATATTCCATAGAGAGTAGGGAGCAAAGTGCATCAACCCAACATATTCCATAGAGAGTACGGAGCAATGTGCATCAACCCAACATATTCCATAGAGAGTACGGAGCAAAGTGCATCAACCCAACATATTCCATAAAGAGTACGGAGCAATGTGCATCAACCCAACGTATTCCATAGAGAGTACGAAGCAAAGTGCATCAACCCAACATATTCCATAGAGAGTACGGAGCAATGTGCATCAACCCAACATATTCCATAAAGAGTACGGAGCAATGTGCATCAACCCAACATATTCCATAAAGAGTACGGAGCAATGTGCATCAACCCAACATATTCCATAGAGAGTACGGAGCAATGTGCATCAACCCAACATATTCCATAAAGAGTACGGAGCAATGTGCATCAACCCAACATATTCCATAAAGAGTACGGAGCAATGTGCATCAACCCAACATATTCCATAAAGAGTACGGAGCAATGTGCATCAACCCAACATATTCCATAAAGAGTACGGAGCAATGTGCATCAACCCAACATATTCCATAGAGAGTACGGGGCAATGTGCATCAACCCACCATATTCCATAAAGAGTACGGAGCAAGTGCATCAACCCAACATATTCCATAGAGAGTACGGAGCAATGTGCA